ATCAATTCAACTGAAAACCTAAACATTTACAGCCAGTTTTGAAATTGATGCATCTTTGCTCTGGAAATTGTTATTGAATATATTAAAGCTGTAATTGCTCCTAAAAAAAAAAAAACTTGAAAATAAAATTTGAAAATTAAAAAAAAGATAGAAACAGAGAGAGAACTTCTAAACACCTATGAAGCCAGTATCACTTTAATACCAAAACCAGGTAAAGACACATACACACACACACACACACACACACACAAAACAAAAAACAAAAAACTATAGCAAACATAGATGCAAAAATTCTCAAGAAAATATATGTAAACCACATATAGACACACATCAAAAAGATCATCCACCATGATTAAGTCAGCTTTATTCCAGGGATGCAGGGATGGTTCAATACATGTCAATAAGTGTAATAAATCATATAAATGGACTTAAAGACAAAAATCACATGATTATTTCAATAGAGGCAAATGGCCTTTGACAAAAATCCAACATGCACTCATGGTAAAATGTTCTAGAGGGTATTGGACTGGAGGGAACACACCTCAATATGATTAACATCATTCTAACTGGAGAAAAACTGGAAGCATTCCCATTAAAAATCAGAAACCAGACAAGGCTGTCCACTAACTCCACTCCTTTTCATTATAGTGCTTAAAACTCACTAGAGCAATAAGATGAGAAAAGGAAATTAAAGGAAAATTATCCTTATTTGCAGATGATATATGATATGTAAGAGATTCAAGAAATTCTACCAGAAAACTTCCAGAAATGACCAATACTTTCAGCAAAGTGGCAAGCTACAAAATCAATTTATAAAACTCAATAGCTTTTCTATATACCAATAATAAGCGATTGGAGAAAGAGTTCATAGAAACCCTCTCATTCACAATAGCGTCAAAAAACAAACAAACAAACAAACAAAAAACTAGGAATAAACCTAACCAAAGACATTAAAGATTTCTGTAATGGAAATTTTAAATCCTTGAAGAAAGAGACTGAAGAAAGCACAAGGAGATGGAAAAACCTCTCACGTTCATGGATTGTTAGAACACTGTGAAAATGACCATCCTAACCAAAGTAATTTATAGATTCAATATAATGCCAATCAAAATCCCCAGGACATTATACACAGAATTAGAAACAAAAAAAATCCTAAAATTCATATTGAATCACAAAAGACCCCGGATAGCAAAAGCAATCCTGAGTACAAAGAACAATGTTGGGTGGATTACCATATCAGATTTCAATCTGTATTACAGAACTATACTCATAAAAACAGCACAGTACTGGCACAAAAAAACAGACATGTAGATCAATGAAACATAGTAGAAGACTCAAACATGAGTCAAAGCAATTTCTGCTTTGATATCTGACAAAGGCGCCAACAACACACATTGGAGGAAAAACAGCACCTTAAATGGTGCTGACAAAACTGGATCTCTATCTGTAGAAAAATGAAATTACACACATTCTACTCAGCAGAAATTAGATAACTTATCTATCACCCTGCACAAAAGTCAATGCCAGATGGAATAAATACCTCAATGTGAAACCTGAATCTCTGAAACTGTTACAAGAACACACAGGTAGTTCCCTACAAGATACATGTGCAGGAAAGAACATTCTAAATCGGACATCAGTTGCTCAGGAATTAAGGTCAACAATGGATAACTGGGACCTCATTAAACTAAGATTAAAAAAAAAAAAAAAAAAAAAAAAAAAAAAAAAAAAAAGCAACCACCGAAGAAGAAACCCACAGAGTAGGAGAAAATTTTCACCAGCTACACACCTGACAGAGGATTAACATCCAGAATATACAAAGAACTCAAAAATCAAGGAATCGAGAAATTAAATGACCCAATTAAAAGATGGGCTATGGATCTGAAAAGAGAGTTCTCAAAAGAATAAATAAAAATAACTAAACACCTTAAAAGGTGTCCAACATCCTAGTGATTAGGGAAATGCAAATCAAAACCACTTTTAGATTTCATCTTACCCCAGTGAGAATGGCTAGATCAAGAGAACAAATAACACAAAATGCTGGTAAGGATGTAGGGACAGGGGAATACTCATTCACTACTGGTCAGATTGCAAACTGGTACAACTACTATGGGGTGTGGTAGAGAACTCTTTTAAAAAACTAAAAGTAAATCTATCAGATGATCCAATTATACTACTCTTTGGCATATACCCAAAGGACTCATCCTATTATAGAGACACTTGTACAACCATGTTTGTGGCTACTCTTTTCACAATAGCTAAGAGATGGAAGCAACCTAAGTGCCCCTCAACTGACAAATGGATAATGAAAATGTAGTACATTTATGCAGTAGAGTTCTAGTCAGTGCTAAAGAAAGATTGAAACCATGAATTTTGCAGGTAAATGGGTGGGACTAGAAACTGTTATACGAAGTGAAGTAAAACAGACTCAGAAAACGTTATGTTCAGCAAAAGAAACTAGATACACGTTGAATATGAAATACTAGAATAAGTAAAACTTAATCCATGGTATCAGAATTCAAAGAGGAGAAGTGATACAGGGATTACATGAGACGAGACACTGGAGAATTTTCTGGAGTGATAAAAATATTTTTATGAGTAATGGTAGTATGCTCATATAGATTTGTCAAAAATGGATTGAGCCAAGTGTGAAGGTGCACATCTGTAATCCCAGGACTCTGAAGGCAGAGGCAGGTGGATATCCTGCCTCTGAGTTTAAGTCTAACCTGTTCTATAGAGAGTTCCAGGCTTAAGATACATACTTTTAAAACTAAAGAAAAGAAAAGTTAACTTCAATAAGCTGACAACTCTACTTCTCAGTTTTTGGTCTACAATAATGCAACAAGTCAAACTCCAAACTATTCTACCTTATGTGGTACAGTCATACTTTTTTAGCTTTGTTCTGACTTCTTACCTTGTTAACTTCTGGTGTAAGAATTTCTATTTTTCGTAAACGTTGGAAAGCATCATAATCAGTTTCTCCAAATAATCTAATTGGTTCTCCTCTTTCTCGCAATCTTCTAATAACCTATAAAGAGAAAAAAATACTTGGAAAACTTTTCAAAGGGGGTGGGGAAGGGACTAAACAACCTCAAAACAACGTGCACATTTTATCTTAAAATCCTTCACATATTTTTATTTTATTTTAAAATATTATTGTGGAGGGCCGTGTACCCAGTGTACAGGTGGAAGTCACAGGACAACTTGCTGGAATCATTTTTCTCCTTCCACCACATGGGTCCCACGGATGCAAATAGATTCGGTGGCAAGCTCCTTTACCTAATGAGTCATCTCATCATCCCAAAATCCTTCAAATACTTTGAATCATCTATCTCAATTACAATGAAAAATGATATTTGTAAATGAAAGGGAAAGCTCTTCAGATAAAACTATTTTACTTACATTCCTGCT